CTGAAAAAAATAGACAAGTTTTTATAGCAATTTTAGGTACCCAGAAAAATTGAGCAGAAGTTAGAGATTTCTGCCCCCTCCACAACACATGAAAGATGGATTTTAAAAGTTTTCTTGCTAATGAATTGTGGAGAAACTCTAGAACTATTGTGGCAGATATTTTTACATCTCAACAAGTACCAGGATTATTAGAATTAATTATGAAGTATAATTAAAATAAATGAAGTTTTAGATTATATAACTAGGACAAAAAGGCATTGTACTTGGAAAGACACTTCCAGTAACATGTCAGTAATTCACCGAATATTTACTGAAATTTTGATATGTCTGACTGTTTTAAGTGTTGAGATAAAACACTATCCCTGTGCTAATCATAGAGATAGTACTATCTTATAGACGACATAGCAGTCTAAGGACTGGGCAAGTTAAAGCACTTTTCTAAGATCGAAGTCAGTCAGTATGTGGCAGAGTTGGGATTTAAAGCCAAGTTTGGCTGATTCAGAGCCCATTCTCCTGTTTTTTTTTTGTCATTTTGGGTGTGGGTAATGATTCTTGGTTTCAGCATGTTGTTTGTTAGGATTTGGGTTAATAGCTCATTGTATTAAGACATTTCTATTATTGCATTAGTCACATCAGCATAACAGACAGATGCACCCTTCAGTTTTTCTGGAAGAACATACTGATATATGTTAAAATGAAAACCCAGTGAAAGAGTGTTTTTTACAGCAAGCTGAAATGTATATTTCATGAACCAACTGAGTAATGTAACTTGGTAGTTTAATCGAAGTTTATAAATTCAGAGAGAGTGTTTTGTGTTAGACTTGTCTGTCTGAATTCAACATAGAGTTCCGATTTGTGAGTCAGTTTTCATACTGATCTTTCTGGGTGATCATTAGGGCCTTCTTTTTAGTTGCTTGTCATCTGAGTAGAACACAGGCTTTATGTGACTTTGAAGAATGTGTGTGAGTACTTATCTGAAATGGCAGAGTTGGGACACGAGAAATTGAGAAAGAAGCATTTCTGTTTTCTTGTTTATCAGATGAGCCTGAATACCTTATAGATGGTGATTGTTGAAGAGTTGGGGTCTAGCTATGGTTGCCCGAGCACTCTGCGTAGGACATGCACTTGTTGAGTTAAAGAACCCTTAAAAAAAAAAAAAAAGGTGATATTCCTAGTCTGCACCAACTGCCAGGATAGCACTAGTTTACAGAATACTTAGATTGATTTTCCTTAATTATAAATTTATAGTAGAAGAGATAAAGGGATTGGAAATGTGCTGTAATTTGCTTCTGTAAAAATCCCAGACTGTTCAGTGAAACAAAAGAACAGGATGTCACTTGTGAAATGGTAGGACTAGACAGCTAGAGCCTTTTGCAAAAATAGATTTTGTCATGGGCAGTAGATTTCTAAAAGGCTCCCAGTCCCTTGGTCCTGTTGCTAGGATTAAGCCTTTTTGCATTGCAGCATGGAGAGGCTTTCATTTGAGTTAAATTCAGCCTTCTTGGTATGTCACCTGATGGTCTTGTGGTTTCAGATGAATATGGTTCATTGCTATTATTAACCTGACTTGGCAGTTGTGCATAACTGGACTTTTAAGTGAGTTTGAAGAGTGGAATTGCTTAAGAGAAATAGAGATGCTACTGGCATACAGCTTAACTTAAAATGCTATTTTCAAATGTTAACATCAGAATCTACCCAAATCTAATTATGAATTTAATGATGTAACAATTTAATCAGAGATTAAAGAGATTTTAGGTGTATATATATAAAAGTTGAATAAAATTATGGTAATAAATATAATTAGAAGGACTTCTTGAGAGTGTTTTGAGCAGGTGGTAATCATTATTTTAAAATATCTAATTTATAAATGTTATATGTTAGTCTTTGGTCCATGTGTGTCTTATTTCTCGTTCGGTCATTTAGTGCTCTTCTTTCTCATATTTACATAGGAACACTCACTACAGCTATTTGAAGGGCATTGTGTTTTTGTTATGCACGTATTTATAAGTAAAATTTGAATTAAAAACATGACATTTTATTAGTCAGCTTACTGATCACAATCCAACTTTTTTATACTTAATGTTATTCTTTAATTCTGCTGATATGAACCTGAGTTTATTTGGTAGTGTTTTAGATGCTCTAGTAAACATCTTAACTATGGGTCTCCATGTAATCATTTAAGACTTGAATTAAATAATTTGAATTAATAATGAATTTAGACTAAAGTTACATTGTTTTTATATTTTAAGTTAATCCCGCTGTGGAAGTCTAAAAATATTTTTTCAATGTATGTAACCCAGTTAAACAACTTCGATACTGGCTCTTTCGATTGTTTTAGCTCTTTTTAACATTCTTCTTCTTGACTGCAGTTTAAGTTCTCAGGTATATAGAATTAATGTCAGAAAGTTAAAGAGCCACGTAGGTCAGGTATATTTCAATTAGGGATATGTGTTGCTGAAAAATACTAAGTATAATAATGATAGCAGATATGACACATGGTATCCTCTCCTAGTATAGAAATTTGCTGTTGCTGAGATTCCATTTCACAAAGAATTCATGTTATAGACTGTCTTTTCCTTCTCTGAAATACTTTATGTAAAATTTTACTTTGTACGTAAGATTTTGTACATGTTAGATTATGGGTAAGTATAAATGGATTTGGGGATCTTAACTAATGCTGGTAATAATCATTTATATTTTTACCTTATAGTATTTTTTTGCTTTATTACCTTACTTGATTAGATAATGACGGTAATCCTATAGCCAAGTGGCTGACTATACTCGTCATTGAAATGCTAATGACATTCATTAGGATTGGATTTCATTAATATTCTAGGTATAATTGAATTTAGTATGACTGAAAATAAACAATTAAAGATTAACTAATCTTATTATAATATTTAGTTTATTAAAATGTAGTTGGAGAAAAATAATTAGATGTAAGCAGCCTATATAAGAATCAAGATTTTTCTGATAAGAAAAGTCCTAAAATGATAAGTAAGTGGTTTGTAACTGAATTAACAAATAAATCATGGGATTATTTTTCTGTCAGGTTAGAGAATTATAATTCCTTAGATAGAGAAATAATTACTCTACAGAAAGCCTATACATGTAGGCCTCCAGCATTAAAATGATACCTCTTGAAATAGCTATTCATTCGCTCACTTACCTAGCAAATTAATTGAAGTTCTATTATATTTCTTATCCCTCCCAGCTTCTCCCTATAGTTTTAGGAAGATACTGAAACATGGAAAACCAAAACGAAGTATAAACTAAAATTTGTGATTAACAAGTTGTCATTCTGGGAGGAATTTACAGTTTACAAATTCAGTAATATTGAAAACAAAATTGGTACAATAACAGCACCTCGTGACCGGTGATCCTATCTGTTTAAGAAAATTAACTCTTTTAAGCACTTCTTTAATGTGGGACTCCTAGCAGAGATGTAGTGATAACTATGAATAGTGATCTATATTTTTTCCTAATTATTTTCCATTTTTAAAAAACTTTCTACAGTGTAATTTTTACATGTATTTTATGACTGCTGTAATTTTCTATATATGATTCCTCTAATTTAGTAAATATCCTGAAGTTAATTCTTTTGACCCCTGAGTTGGAGAAGAGTTATCAACTTGGATCCTTAACTGTACAAAAAATTGAGTACTGTCTATAAACTGAGTAAATAATTGTCTGATGCATATGTAGTTCACATGTATATAGATTTTTTTTTTATTAATACTATATTGAATTCATAGTAGCTTCCAGTCATACTTTCTCAGTTACTGGATACTATTTTTTTTTAAACATTAAAGAGGTATTCTTTTACTAGAATGATTTGGGAATTGCTGATATAGACCATATGTTTACAATTACTATTTTTTTTAAATATATACTAAATATATCAGAAATAAAATAAGAACCTCCCTTATACAGTTGGGACTTCCGGATTAGTGGGAAAAGTCAGTTGAAGTAAGGAGTTTAAAAACTTGCATATGTTGTAACATTTTATTTTCAGCTCAAAATATATACATATGCATTCATCTGCAAGTCCTCTGCTATTCAGTATGTTTCACAGAGGGAATGGTGAATGTTATTTCTCCGTCATGGGACCAAAAAATTTAAAATGTTATGTAAAGTGAAAAAGCATTGTAGGACTTAAATACTTTGCTTTCAAAAGATATATTTAAACGTTGGCTAGTTAGTAGCAGATTTCTCTAAAGCAAAATTTGTAAATTTTTGAAATCTCAGATCACTTGCCCTATGTATAGAAAATATTTCTCCATTGGCTCTGGTGCTTTTGGCTATGTTGCTTTGAGGTTCTTAATGGTGACCAATCCTTGGCATGTTGATGTTATGTTGGGAAAGCTTTTTACTTGTAGCCTAATTTAGCATTTCTCTTTATCTCCCTCCCTTCCTCCATCCATGTTCCTTTTCTTCCCCAAGAATTTATGCTTTATCAAGTTCAAAATGTTTTCCAGTACTGGGGAGCAGTTTCTCTAATTCTGCCTACATAAACTTTTGAAACTGGGCCACCCTCTCTCCATTTCTTGCAAGAGCACAGGCTGTTAATGTTTTTTTCAGAGCTGGTCTGCATCATCTTGCATGTTTTATTTCAGTGAGACAACAGTGATGATTGAGGCTCAGGAGAGAACAACTAACATAGTGCCAGGTGCATAGTATGGACTGTACAAATAATTATCGAATGAATGAACTTAAAATCTACAAGCTTGCTAAGTATACTGTATAGTAAGAGATTATTCCAGACCCTTTGTTGCTAAGTTGAAGTAAAAATATGTGGATGATTAATTAGAAGTAGGAGTAGGGGAAGAGAATAGATCAGTTGATATTTATTTACAAATGTATGAAATTCAATCTTAAGATGATTGATGAAGTAAAGAGTCAAATAGGAAAAAAAAAGATGAATTATTTAGGTAATGTGTTGAGATAGAAGCTAGCATTTAGCCTGGTCTTTCTCAGTTTTTTTGTGCTTTTTTAAAATTACTGTCCTCCTAGGGAGCTTTTCTTAAGACATTTTTTTCCTTAATTGCCACTACCCCGACTGTGAAAAAAAAATTTTTAAGCCACCAGATAAACCACAGATGTACTGTGTATTTTCCTATGTAATATGCCCCTTTGGAGGGCCACACCCATTGTAATATCTAAGATTTTTGGAGGGATCTTCTTTCCCCCCTCCTCCCCACCCAGAACCAAATTTGCCTCCATGGAAGCCATCTTGTTCACTGAGAATGCATATTTTAGTCCTAATTTAGTAGCCAGTAACGTATGTTATAGAAATTCATATGGCCTTCTGAGTTGCTATGTCAGTGCCTAAAGGGACATGTCTATTTATTGTTTATTTCCTATTAGCATTCTTTTAAGGTGTCAGGTAAAAAACATGCAGAGCAGATATGCTGACATAAACTATAAATAACCCCTGGGTAGAGTCTTAAAATAGTTTGTGGTTCATCACTGAGCAGTTTTCTTACTAATGTTTTAATTAATATTATCCTGAACACAATAGCTTAATACTGAGGAAAGTTTTGCTGTAGTATATAGATAATTTTTTGTAAATGGTGATGGTGTGCTTATCACTGTTAATGCTTTGGCTTGTTATGTCTTCAGTTAAATTTTGATAAAAAGAGACAACACGATGATGTGGAATATGTGGTGGATTAGATATGAGAAGACTTAGATTCTAGTATAATAAAGGATCATTCTAAAGCCTTGGACTTTCCATGTCTTGACTATTGTAAATAGTGCTGCTGTGAGCATTGGGTTGCTTGTATATTTTCAAATTAGAGTTTTGTATTTTTTCCAGATATATAGCCAGAAGTGGAATTGCTGGATCATATGGTAGCTCTGTTTTTAGTTTTCTTAAAGAACTTTCATAATTTTTTCCATAGTGGCTATACTAATTGACATTTCCACCAACAGTGTATGGGAGTTTCCTTTTCTCCACACCCTCTCCAGCATTTACTTTTTGTAGATTTTTTGATGATAGTCATTCTGACCAGTGTAAGATGACACCTCATTGTTGTTTGCTTTGCATTTCTCTAACAATTAGAAATGTTGAAATCTTTTCATATGTATGTCTTCTTTGGAGAAATGTCTGTTTAGATCTTTTGCCCATTTTTTGATTGTTTGTATATTGTAACCCCTTGTTGGTTGCATCATTTGTAAATATTTTCTCTCATTTCATAGGTTGTCTTTTCATTTTGTTTGTGGTTTCCTTTGCTCTGCAAAAGTTTTTAAGTTTAATTAGGTTCCATTTGTTTATTTTTGCCTTGGGAGACTGATCTAAGAAAATTTTGCTACAATTTATGTCAAAGAATGTTTTGCCTATGTTCTCTTCTAAGAGTTTTATGGTGTCGTGTCTTATATTTAGGACTTTAAAATCATTTTGAATTTATTTCTATGTATGGTGTGAGGGAATGTTATAATTTCATTGCTTTGTATATAGCTGTCCAGCTTTCCCAACACTGCTTGTTGGAGAGACCATCTTTTCCCCATTGTATATTGTTGCCTCCTTTGTCATAGATTAATTAACTACAAGTGTGTAGGTTTATTTCAGGGCTCTCTATTCCATTTCATTGATCTATATGCCTATTTTTATGCCAGTACCATGCTGTCTTGATTACTGTAGCTTTGTAGCATTGTCTGAATTGTGGAAGGAGTATACCTCCAGCTTTGTTCTTTTTCCTCAGGATTGCTCTGGCACTCTTTGTGGATCCATATAAATTTTAGGATTGTTTGTTCTTGTTCTGTGAAAAATGCCCTTGGTATTTTGCTGGGGATCGTGTTAAATCTGTAGATTGCTTGGTGTACAGCATAGTAATTCACAATTTTTAAAGGTTATTCTCCATTATAAGTTTTATAAAGTATGGTC